ATTTCACAATAAAACACTCATTTTCCACATTTTTGCAGATAAAATGTTTAAAATGCCCAACACATTTGCAGACAATATTTCCAGTTATTTTCTCAAAATTAAAATTTTCACAGTCTGCCAGCACGTCACAATTTGGAATTATATGCACTTTCATCACTTTTCTCGAACTAAATTATTAACGTTCAGAAAATACATCACACGTCAATAATTTGAAGATATCCTTTTCAGTTTTTAATCTATCGCATTAACATTTCTTTATATGGTGGCCAAAAATGTTAAACTTTCAGAAAACATTTCTCATTGTTTTTATATTGGGTACCATAGCTCATTAATCAAAAGTTGGTAAATAGTGAGACTTCTCGTCAATATATTTTTTATCACTTTGTCAGAATTTCAGCAAACAAGCGCCGGAACAGCAAACTACAAACCGTTCAGAAAACGTCCTTCCATGGACGTTACTTCCGTTGTATTTCGGGACTGGCGGGCTTCCATGGATTGCAGCACGTTGCATGGTTTGGTCATTGGCCGTATTTTGCCATCTGCTCTATCGTGCAAGTATAGCCCCTTTTTTTATTTCGTCCAATTACATTCAGATGTCACAATTGGCTTTTGTTCTTCATCTAAGGAATTCCTTTTCACTAATTGAAGCCGCAATATCAACCGTTACTTTGTAATATCGTATTTCATTCTAATATCATTTAAGAATTTCAAAAAAATTCAGTTCTTCCTTTATACTTATTTAGTGTGTCCCAGTTTTGCACCAAACTTTACCAACATATTCCATACGCAAAAATAAGGACGAGATGTTATATTAATGTAGAGTGAACACTTTTAATAGTGTTTAAAACACTATTAAAAAGTTGAAACAAAAGTACAAAACGACTGCTTTGTTTTTTGATGCTGCAGTGTGTCCCAGTTTTGTAAAACTTTACCAGCACTTTCTTATAAATAAAGAGGATAAAAGAATGTTATAAACATGGGCTCTAAAAGATTATGAAGATCATTTTACATTAATTTCTAAATTCAATAGAATATCTAAAACGTGTACGAAATATGACAAAATGTATGGCTATTTGTTTGTTTTCTTATTGATATTAATTATTTCTTACTGTGATTTTTATAGCAATTTGTTTTGGGCAACTTTTTGTTTTTCACCTAAAACTACCAAGCTGTAGTTAAAAATATTTGATCCTATCGACACTAAATAATTCAATTCACATTTAATTAAATTATAAATAATATACATCCAGGGAGAAGAATATCCATTACAAACTGTATTACCTCGACAAAAATATTCGATCAAATCGATACAAATCTTCATATTTCAAAAGCCCTCTTGATCTTATAAATTCATGTTCACCTCGGTGCACATATCGAAGAACAAACGCTGTTATTATCTAAGAAGACGCAATTCACGAGATCACGATAAAATCACTGACATGTGACAACTCAATAATTCATGTCCACCAACACAGATTCAATCTAATCCTTGCTAATCTCCCGCATTCCCTCTCCCCTTTCATTAGTTAAGATGAACACGATACCGTTTAACCTGACAGCATGTAGCCGGGGTAAAAGTAGCACAGTATGACCCTGGAAACACCTCTATGTATTTCTTCATCTACAAAAAGGTGAACTGACTTGAACACGCCTACGAACTGCCCCTGTTTTGAATCAAAGATGTTAAAACGACTTCAGAAATTTGTCAGAAGAAACTAAAACGGTATGCAAAATTCGTCGCTTGACCCACATCGCTAGCGTTAATATTCTACCAGAAGGATAGTAAATAGATCTACGGGATGTCCTATGCAATTCGAATTAGTTGAACTTTTGAAACGGGGATGGAAAGAAGATATCATAATTAATTTATTTGCTCCAACTGCTCTTTAGGTGTTTTCAACATTCTTCGTGGACATTTCGAGATGTTAGAATAATAAAGGGATAACAGGACCCGCATCACATCTGTGGACTGTGTGGGAAACATTTCATTAACTCTTAAACGATGGATCACTAAAATATGCGTAAAAGGATTCTACGTTGAGGGCTGAAAAATTAAGCTAGATTTAAGAGCCTTTCCTTTAACAAATATGTAATGAAATGAATCTTTTTAGTATTCATTAAACTACTTTTAAATTATGGGGAAAGAATTGTTTTTTCCTAGTGTAAAATAGTACTTTGGGAAAAGATGTATGTGTAGGGGAGATACAACAAATTCAAACAAATTGTTAATTACGAATGTCGCTGTCACAGATACCACAATTGTATTTATTCATTTATTATAATTTTTAAATAACAAGGTTATCGAAAGAGAAATATTTTTTATTTTGTTTATACCAACGCTATTTCTCTTGCTTTTTAACATAAAATGTTTGGTGTAGTAGTAGCAACACTCATAATAATTACAAATTTTTCTGAATTTTTTATTCCTCATAAATCTGCATTGAAAATCAACGTCGCAGAAACGCACACCATTTTTTTGGTGGTTCATTCGATTTAAGAAAAATCATGAAAATGTAGTGAAATCATTTTAGCAATTTGCTCATATTACTTATACGTGTTTTGATAAATGTTGAAACATCTAATTTTATTACGTGTTGCATTTACTCCAAAAAGTAGTTTAATTTTTTAATGATGAAAATAAAACAATCCTTCAAATTTAGTTTTACTCGTTTTCAATGTTAGTTTTAGACGTGAAATGGATTATTATGGCAATGATAGTTTAAGTTTAATCTTATAACTCATTTTATTTCAAATTTTAAAAGTTTTCACTATTACGTGACTGTTACATTGAAGTTGTTGTAACATTCATAATCAATATTTATCGAAGCAGACTTAAATGGAGAATTTCAAAAAGAACAGTATACACAATTTTCTAATATTAAAATGATGTGATGTTTAATTAAAAGTTCAATCTATCACAAACTAATTATTAATTAGGAAGCAATGCTTCATGATTTGAATGATCATTAAAGATGCACGTTAATAAAATTCTGTTGTATCCATTTCACACAAATTAGAACTATTTTTCCTTTTAGGGTGATCACGCATATTATATAATTGACTGATGCAAATATAAGTTGCCATGGAAAATAAAACGTCTGTATATTAATATAGCTTTGTTTTATGCGCTCATTTCATTAATTTTTTGATATGAACGAAATTAGTTGTATATCTTTAAAGACTGAAGCATAACTACTCTGAGTACAGCCAAATAACTAAAGAATTTTGTTTATGCAATATTTTAACAAAAATACGAAGAATTATTAAACACAAGAATCTAGGAATATCAAAATAACTACCGTCTACAGGGTTTGTTACGCGACGATATTAACAAAAAATGTACTTGCATAACACAACATTCTCGCAATGTTTTGTTAAAATCAGAAAGTTCGGGTTGAGAGACTTTCCTTGTCAGCTAAATATCATGCATAAATTAAGTCGAATGCTGAGAGTACACGAGTACCTGGATCACAAAGAAACTGTGAACATTTCGACTATTAACGCAGAGAATGTTAAAAGAAAAAACAAAAAAGAAATGAAATGCAAAATAATGAAATGAGAGCAGCGACGTACTACTACTCTAAGACCCATTTCCAAACACTCGTTATATCTCGTAAACATGTCTACGTTCCACAAATTCGGTTCACTCGATACTCAACAAAAATCGTGCTGAATCAAAGCGCGTCGTTGACGAGAAATAGTTCTGGTAGTAAAATTTACGACGGCAGTCGACGTCACTAAAATAAGACCGAGAGAATCCGATACTCGACGTTCAACGAACCGGACAGAAATACGATTTCGAAACGTCACGAAACGTTGAAAAATTAATCACGTCCCGGTTAGACGGGACGGTGGATCGATAAATCGAAATTCAGGAAATCTTACATAATTAGCGAACACGTACCGGCTACGAGCGGAACGGACAGATGACGTTTCGCGAACGATCCGCACACAGACATTGTCACATCACGTCGGTTCTGTCTACGAGATACAACGAACGAAACTATCCAAACGATCACAGGGCTAATCATTTAATTCCGTCCGGAGCGGGAAGACAGAACCGTACGCGAAGCGTTTCGTCTCGTATCGATCGCGGGCCAACTTCAACGAAATTTACGAAATGCGCGAATCGAAAAACGGACAGAGATAGAAATGGGCTAGAGGGCGAGAGAAACGTCGAAAGAGAGAAAGCGAGAGCAGGAGAGAGAGCGCGATCTCCCGTTCTGACTTCACGTGGCTTCTATTGATTTACTACGAGCGCTGCTTTTGCGAAAGAACCGCAAAGTCTCGTAATGAAAAGTTCAGCCACTGATCGATCCGCTGTCAGTCGACATCTCCTTGTGGCCGTTGTATGTCTCGTGTATAGTCACGCTAGCACTGCAACAGTCTGCCCCAACGGTTCAGTGACACGGTACACTATACGACACACGGCATCGGTCTGGCTTCAGGGAATCGACACCGGTTGTTTCCGGAATCAAAGAACAGACACCAACGTTGCACGACGCGTTTCCTGATCAGTTGTATATCCTCTCGTTTCCTCTCACGATTTTGTAATCCTCTAATTATCGACAAACAAACCGTAGTCTCGTAGAACCGCAGAAGAGAATCACAGACATGAAGAATGGTAATAAAAATTGTAAGGGCAATTTCGTCCACGAGACTGTAGGGACATTCGGTATATATCAAAGTGTGTCAAAAGATCGCGTAAAGCTCACCTGCCGTCAGAGGGTGGCAAGCACCAAGGACAGGCAAGCGAGAAAGAGAAGTCAAGAAGCGGAGAGGGCAAGAGACAGGGGGGATGAGGGGGGGTGGAAAAATGAGCAGGTCGCAGGCCGCAGGGCGTACGAGCTACATCCGTACCTCCTTACTTCGGCAAAATCAATAACCTGTTTGGGGGTGTAGGAGAGAACCTAAGGAGAGAGGCCATAGCACGGCACCGCCGCACTAGGTGGCAAAGGTAGCACGAGTCAGGTGTGTGTGTGTGTCAGAAAAATACGTACGCGGTCCAACAGCGAATATCCAAAGCCGTTTATTCCCCGGGACGTTCGCGATCCTCGTGCAAGGGAGGAGAGTGTAAACCGGCACCACCCCCGACAATCCTGGCACCTGCAATCGTCGCTGGGCTGTCTGTGTGTAACGGAGTCCTGCGATCTGATCGGTTCAACTTGAAAGGTTAGAGCACCGGATACACTACCGGTGTGTTTCACTGTCTACTATTCCCGGTACGGGGGGTTTCGTAAAACTCTAGCTCTGGCACGAGCTCACCACGCACCGGTATTATCGACGATTCTTCCTTTTTCCAACAACTCAGAATCCTGCGACGATCACACTGTCAGCAGAGGTCTCCCCCTCTCGAAGCTTGCCCTCTGTTATCATTACCCACCACCTCGCGGATAGAGAACGAACGTCTCGGTTGTTCGTTATCCGAATCGCGCGCTCTTCTCTCTACCGGAAAGGAGAGCGTTCACCACCACCTCGACCAGTTTGAATTCGCTGTCTGTGCGACGAAGGATGAAAAAGGACGATGATAACAGCAATCCGATCGAGACGGTGGTAGCCGAGACGGGTACACGGGTCTCACGCGTTCCACGCACGACTTTCCTGTCAAACGGATGCTTCCCCGCGAGGAGAAGCGTAACCAACAGACAGAGAGAAACGAACGCAGCACAACGACACGCGTTTCAAGCTGTCGCGGCTATGGGGCGCGGACCACTACCTCGACGAGCCTCCCGGATCGTTGGATAAAACTCGGTGGGGCCGTTCCGGTCGGCGTGCGAACTCCCCACTCTCTCTTTGCCCCTACCATCATCACACGACCAACGTTCGTCTCCCCTCCTATCAAACCTTACCCTCTCGCCCATCTTTCGTCCCTTTCTTTCCCACAACCACCCACCACCTGCGTTACCCCCACTATGTCCTCTAGACACCACGACCGTCGTGTCGCG